TTTTTTTTTTTTTTTTTAATTCTTCTGTTGTTTTTCTTTGTATACATACAACTCTCTTGCACCCTCTTTTCTTTCCCGCCTAATGTGATGCTGTTCACCGACTCACCACTCCCTAAACCTGCCGTTATTTCATTCATGCATTCATTTATTGAATAATTTTTATTTCTTCTGTTGTGAATGCAGGGGGGAGTTGGTGGAATGTAAAAAAAAAAAAAAAGAGAAGAAAAGAAAATTAAAAAAAAAAAAGGAATGAAAAAAAAAGAAGATAAAAGAAACAGAAAGAAAAAAAAGCAACATCCACAAAAAGAAGAAGAAGAGAGAGTATATATTGGGATGTTTCCTGACCTTTTTTCGAGTTGATGAAGAATAATAACAGAGGAATTGAAAAGAAAAGACAAGAAAAAAGAAAAGAAGAGAACAAGAAAAAGGAATGAAAAAGGCAGAAAAAAAAAGAGTTAAAAAAAAAAAATACATCACTCATATGCGTTTGTCTCATTTTTTTTTTTATTGATCTCATATATATATATATATATATATATATATATAATATTATTCAATTGTCTTTGATACAGGAAATTCATTGCGTACAAGAGAGACTGGAGTGCGGGCGAGATAACCCTACACATGCGGTGGTTCAAATTAACGTCATTTTTCTCAAACATACATACGCACACACACACACATATCCAGACGTGCTTCATGCAGTGTCATGATATGCGAAAAGAAAAAAAAAAAGAATAACAAGAGGTTTCTTTTAGACTTATTTGCTAGTAATGTTTATGATGATTCTATGGATTGAGAGGTCAACAAAGGGAAAAAAAAAGGTAAAGTACAAGAAGAGGATGAATAACTATGTTGAATAAAGTAGATACATGAGGTATTTGTGTTTTCTTTACTTTTTTTCCCCCATCTATGTATGCAATGTGTACGCGTGTGTGTGTAAGTATAATTTGGGATTTGAGGAAAATGCTGGGCGTGTGTATATTTCTCCGTATAGAATGTGCAGACACTTACAGAGAGAGAAATATACAGAGAACAACGAAAAGAAAGTAACACTAGTTGAAAGTAAAAAAAAAAGAAAGAAAAAAGACTGCATTATTATGATTATGATGATGATTATTATTAGTATTTCTTATAATTATTGTTTCTCAGTCTTCTCAAGAGGACATATAGAAGATAAATGAATAAACAGAAGAAATAGGGGGAAACAAAAACAAGAAAAAAAAAAAAACCGTATCAGTACCAATGGAAGAAATATATACATATATACATACGTGCGAAGAAGAAAATAATTTTTCAGGAAGAAGGGATTAGTTTTTTTGTTTAAATTTATATCCCTTCGTCTTTTATCTCCTTGCTACGTTTCTTCCTTTTTTTTCCCCCCCTTTCATTTTGTTTTTTGCTTGCATTAGTCGTGTTCTTTTCAATTGTTACCTTTTTCTCTTTTCTTTCATGGTCGGAAGTAGGACGGGATATACGTAAAAAGGTGGTACAGAGAAAGAAGAAATTAAAGAAAAAACATTAACAAAAAAAAGGTACCATTTTTTTTTTTTTTCTGTTTTATTACTTCCGTGATCTGATTTTTTTCTTTTTTTGTCGTTGTTCCGTTTGCCGTGGCAATCCAAAGAGGAAAATAGCAAGAAAAGTATCAGAAGAAGAGGAGGAAAACGAAGAAAAAGGCAACACACACACACGAATTACAGACAGCTCTGTCGTTGGTTGGAGAAAAAAAGAAAAAGAAAAACCTTCGTTTCTCAGCCGAGACCTATTTCATCTGCTTGCGTGCTTCTGTGTTTTCTCCTTCTGCCAATCTGACATTTATTTGAACGGATCAATCAATCATTCATTCAAACAAAAAAAAAAAAATTATATCTTTCTCTCTTTCTTTCTTTCTTTCTTTCTCTTTCTCTCTCTCTCTCTCTCTCTCTCTTTTACACACTATCTTATTACATGTGTTTCTTTGCACTTCTCCCACTCTCATTCCCAGTGACCCCCCACCCCTCTCCCTTCTTCTTCTCCTCCTCCCAACATTATCTCTATCCCTTTTTTCTTCCTCTCTCACCCTCTTTATTCTCTGCAGGCCAAGTGTAGGAAGAGAAGGTTCATCAGAATTGCGGTGTGAATGGAGGCGGAGGACGGCGAGTACCGCAGGGCGGAGTCCGCGGAGGACGCGATGCTCGACTGCGCACGCTACAACGACGGCGACGACTCCCAACAACTCCACGACGCCCTCGTCCATAATTCACATCTCGTCGCCGCGCAGGATCAACAGGGCCGCACCGCCATGCACTTGGCAGCCGCAAACGGTCACATCGCCATCATGCACACACTTGCAGAGTTTGGCGCCGCACCGGATGTGCCCAATCATGAGGGAAACACCGCCCTTCACTTTGCGGCTCTTAATAATCAAGTCAGCGCAGCGCGGCTGCTGATCAAGTGGGGATGGCACGCCTCGGCGAAGAATTTGTTCGGAAAGACGCCACTGCAGTTAATCTATGGTAAACAGTTTGAGGAAATGGAGACATTGCTTCTGAATCATGATGATGAAGTAGAAATCTGCGTTGGAGAAATGGTAATGGCGGACGAGGAATCTTTAGAGGGAGGTGTGGAGGAGACACAGTACAGTAATTGTGAACACAATGGTAATAGTAATAATAATAATAGTAATGGTAGTGCTGGTTCCGCCTTTTGTATTGGGGGTGCAGTACTTCCCTCTAGTGAAGGAATACCAACTCCTCCTCCTCCTACTACTACTACTACTACTACTACTACTACTGCTGCTATAGTTGATGCGCCACCCAAAGATATTAATCCTACAAATCTTTTGGGCTCGTCAGATGTTGACGGGATTGAATAGGATTTTCTCACGTTTAATCTGTATTTGGTAAAAGAAAAAAAAAGAAAAAAGAAAGACAGGTTTTTTTATTCTTTATTGGTAGTGATAACCATTACACTGTGATGGAGTCATTGTATGTGGGAGAGGGAGAGAGTTTTGCTTCTGGTAATATAATCATTTTATTGTTATTATTACTATTTTTCCTTTTTTTGTTTTTTTTTGGGTTTTGAATAGCTTTTGTAGAGCAATACCAAACACACCTTCAATAAAAAAAAGTTAGTACAACAAAGCCAAAAAAAAAGAAAAAGAAAAAAAAAAGCAAAACTGTTTGTCATATACGCCAGTCTGTAGGCATGTATGCTGGAATATTTGTACTGTTTTTTGGATATTGGCAGTAATAGGATTTGCAAACAAGAGGCTCACTAATTCTTTCTACTTGATTTTGCTCTTTGTGTAACTCCTTCATAGGGGTATACATATTAAGCATAGATTCGATCCTAGACGTACCAATAGATGGAATCTCAGTCTTTATATATATATATATATATATATATATATTTATGTCTCACTCACTCGCCAAGACTTCTACGTGTAGGAGAACTCACTCTAGGGGTAACGATTGCAGGAAATTGAAGGCAAAAGCAAAGAAAGAAAATATTTCTTTTTGAGTTTCTTCTTGTATAGAATGGTAAATGAATTTAGTTATACGCTACCACAGTTGGTTATCTTAACATTTTACTCTTATTTTGGTTGAAATAATAATAATAATAATTATTTTATTTTTTTTTATTTTCTTTCGTTTGGAGAAGTAGAAGAGGGACTTTTTCTTGTAACTCTGTTCTGGTTTTGCTTTTCCTCTAATTTCCGTTTAGTTTGGTTTACTTGATAATTGACTTCATTCGAAGGGATGGTGTTTCTTTTTTTTTTTTTTGTCTCTTTTTCTTTTGGGCAATAGTTACTATTACCGTTATCAAATTACTCCTATACTTTTTATTTTTATATTTGATTTTAGTTTTCTTTTTCTTTATATCTTTTATTTTTTTTTTTTGATGTATATTTGTTCCCCTTTTCTTTATTTCTATCTTCTTTTCACTCTTTTTTTTTCCTCCTCCTTGTAAATTGAAGAGTGATGCCATGGAGCCACGATACTGTCGGCCAAAGTTCTTTAACCCATTTGTGGAGCGACGAAGGGTGACGAGTCACCTGCCCATTTATCGGGGATTTTTCCGTGTAATGCCATTACAAAGGTGGAGTTTAAATGATATTCAGTCGGTTCTGAGTTATGCCGCTGCCAATCCTTCATTATTTGGCTTTCCTGAACAACAGACATGTATTGTAAATACAGCACACTTTCTCCCTTCTCATCGCAGTAGATTGCGAGGGATTTTTGTATTTGGAGCGGAACGAGGTTGTAAGAGTATTATTGTTCCTGCATCATGTAATAGTGAAAATTTTGATGCTTTAGATGCAAAGTTATTGGAACCTATATTTAGATGGAATCCCAGTGTAGAGTACCTTTATCTTTCTCAAAATTGTCAACCAATGGCTATGCATCTTGTCCCATATCTCCAACGCTGTACACAATTGCGAACTCTCACCTTGGAAGGATGGAACGATGCAGTTGCAATACACCGGGTAGTAATGGCATGTAAACATGTAGACGTGATAGATGCCTTTTCATTAGATGATCCACCACGAGAATGGAAAAATGAACTATCGGTACAAGCTCTAAATACTCTTATTGAGATGCATCCTAAACTCATATGTGTAAAGGCAACACGGGTTTACCTTGCTGACTGGTATGAAGCAACTTTGTTTTCACGATGTAAGCATAATATAGCACTAGTGCCTTTTTCATGTGATTTTGTATTATTACATTATGGATTATTTTTATTATTTATTTGTATTCCAGCATATATTGTATTTAGGTTTGTATGGTGGTTATTGGAAGATCGATGTACTGAAGCCTACATCAGTTTCTTTTCTGTTATTGCTTCAATTATTTTTTTTGTCTCTGTGATAGTATTGGATATGTCGTTATGGCGAACATATGGTCGTGCATGGGTACATATGCATAAGTACCTTATTCTGGCGCGACGACGCTGGTATATTATGATGGGTTCATACCAGAAGTCACTTGTGGCAATGTGACTTTTTATATCGTGAAAAAAGAAAAAATGGTTAAAAACGAGAAACAAAATTGTTATTAACAAAAAAAAAGTTTGGTGGTGATAAATATATTTCCGCCTGTATTTTCACAAGAGAGAGAGAGACTTATTCTTTATATATATTTTTTTCATTTTTTTTTCATTGTTTCTCTATTTTTAATTTTTTTTTTTTTTAATTTTTTGAAATCACCTTCACTCTAGAATGTGAGGGCTTCCCTCTCAACTACTTTGTCTGTTTGCTGTTATTACTTTTTTTTTCTCATTGTTTTTTTTTTTTCTTTTATTTTTATTGGTTAAAAAACAGAAGAACAGTAATTCCTTTCTTCTTTTTTCCTTCTTTCATAGCGTATCCCCCTCTCACATCTGAATATACCTCTGCACGTGTTCCTCACCCCCTAAAAGAAGATGAGTGAAACAGCTGTTGCTAGCAGAGAACCGACGGCCTTCGACGCGGTGCTCGACACTGGCCACACCGCCCCCGTCACCGACACGGCTGTCGATGCGATCGGCAAACACGTCGCGTCGGGCAGCGAGGACGGCACCATCCGCATCTTCACAGCCGACGAGTCGGCGCCCAACAAGTGGCGGCTGCTGACGGTGTTGGAAGGCCACGCCGGCCCCGTTGCGTGCGTTGCGTGGGCCCCGCCGGTGCAGGACGCGGCCGCGCTGCTCTCCTGCGGGGCGGACTGCCACGTGATTGTCTGGCGCGACTGCGGGGCGGCGGGCGGCGGGTGGGCGAAGACGTACGCGTCGGCCCTCCAATCGGCGCCGTGGTGTTGTGCGTGGGCGCCGGCGGAGTACGGCAGGCGTTTCGCGGTTGGGTGCGCAGGAGGGGCCGTTGTCGTGTTTAACGCACACGATCAGCAGTGGAACCGTGAAGAGTTCACCGCACATCCGAATGGATGCTGTTCACTCGCGTGGGCCCCAGCACTGCTCCCCGGCGCCCTTCTCACAACACCACTCGAGGCGGAAGTTCAGTCAAAAGGTCCGGGCGGAATGCCCATTGCCGTTCCACGTATCGTCACATGTGGAGGCGGACGCGATGTGAGTGTGTGGACACACAAATCCACTGGTAACGGCGGTAGTGAATGGATACAGCAGTTGTTGCCGGTTGATGTAGAAGCCTCATGGCGCGAGGTGGCGTGGGCTCCAACGGCAGGGATGCCATTCACTTATATTGCGGCAGGATCAGATGAAGGATTCGTTGTGGTATGGTCGCAGGATGGACCTGCGCGGGGGGAGTGGAATCATATGTTATTACCACAACAGGAAGACGCCGTTACACATCTTTCGTGGTCGCATGTGGGAACTTTTTTGCTTGTTTCGTGTGCAAATGGTACGGCTAGCATGTGGCAGGAGTCGTCATTGCCACAAGGTGGATGGGTGCGGATGTGCGAACTTGAGCCACCCATTTCGGAATAGAAACTGAGTGATTGTAGTAACCAAGTGTCTGGTGCACTATTTTTGTGTATCTGCCTTTTTTTTTTCTATCCGTTGATGCTTGATTTCCTGTATTGTTTTTTTTTTTTTTTCTTTCAGGTTCTCTTTGTTATTGATACTCACTATTATTACCATTATTACTATTACTGGATCTGATTCTTTTCCTATTTCTATCAGTTTTTGTTCTTGTCACCTTATTGACCACGTGACAGAGGAGGGTAAGGAAAAGGAAAAAAAAAAAAATCAAAACTTTCATACCTTTTTTTTTTATTTCTGTACTTTTTTTTATTTTTGTTTTTTATTTCTTTAATTCTGGTTACTGGTTACAGGTTTGAACTATAGTGAAGTTGTAGAAATGGGGATCGTTCTTGGCACGCTTTTTTTCGCTGCCATTGGTACCCTTGGGGCACTCAGTGCGCCTTTCTGGGCAAAAAGCCAAGTTGATCTTGTGCGTATTCTCTGCTACACCGCTGCTTTCTGTTGTTGGCTCTCGTGGGTGCTGATCTATATGGCCCAATTAAATCCATTGCTAATACCGACACGCAACATTAAGAAAGAATAGCTCTTACCGCGAAAGAAAAAAAAGAGTAAACGTAATGCTCAGCTGTGCCAAAAGGATAAAAAGGAAAGAGCGAACGAGAGTATAGTTCCCTTTTTTTTTTTTGAGGGGTGGGGTTCTTCTTTTCGTACGACGTGAAGAGAAATCAAATAGCGGCATTGAATGAGATGAGAGGGGTGAGAGAGAAAACAAAAAAAAAGAGAAATATATATGGGAGAAAATTGGAGATAATGAAGGAAGACATATATATATATATATGCAGTGCTATTATGGCGTAGTTCTGTTCCCCCTTCTCTTTTCTCTTTTTCTTTTACTCACGTACATATACGCATTAGACCAAATGCATGAGCGGTGAAAAAATGGGTGAAGCGCTTTAGGTGAGGTTGAGGATATGAAGAGAGACGGAGGCGCACAAACTTAGTTCTCTTCTCTACAATCCACAGAAAAGAGAAGGAAAATGATGACATTTCGTGGAATTTTTAATGATATATATATATAGAGGTATGATTGCTTCTGAATATGATAGAGTATATATATATATATGTAAAAAAAAGAGTATATATTTATCTTTTTTTTTTCTTTGTAACTCTCTTTTTTTTTTTTTTTTGGTGTGTTGCTTTCGTGGATCATAGTAATTGCTACTGATATATTGTGATTTATAGGTTGTTCGGTCGTAGAAAATACATCCAGAACGAAATAGAATCAAGAAAGTAGTGGAAAATCAAACAAATAAAAGAAAGGAGGAAAAATGAACGTATTACGAGGGATTGGAGATATGTTACATCTCCTTGCCATCATCATTCTATTGGGGAAGATGTTGCAGCAGCGCTCTGCCGCCGGAGTTTCCCTAAAGTCACAATTCCTTTTTGCTCTTGTTTTTACAACACGCTATCTTGATCTCTTCACGTCGTTCGTATCCGTGTACAACACGGTAATGAAGGTATTCTTTTTGGCGACCTCGTGGCATATATGTTATCTTATGCGAAATAAGAGCCCATGGAAAGCAACATATGATCATGAAAATGATACTTTTCGTATTCGTTATCTTATTATCCCATGTATGATTCTTGCTGTACTATTTCGTGGAACCCCACGTGGAGCTTGGGTGATGGATGTATTATGGGCCTTCTCCCAATATCTTGAGGCTGTAGCCATTTTACCGCAGATCTTTTTGCTAGAGTATACAGAACGATATGAGGCGCTTACATCTCACTATTTGGCAGCGATGGGTGCCTACCGTTTCTTTTACATATTGCATTGGATTTATCGCTATATGGCCTTTGGTCGCATTAACTACGTCTCCGTATGTGCAGGGATGCTGCAGACGGTACTTTACGTGGACTTCTTTTATCATTACTTGACTCAGGTCGTGCGACGCGCGAAGCAGCGGTACGATTTAGCGCGTTAGAGAGAGAGAGAAAGAGAAAAACAAAAAGAAGAGAGTCTGAGAGAGAAGGGAGAGAATGAGTGAAAAGGGAGAGATCAAGAAGAAAGGGGAAAAGAGAATGTTTTGTGAAGGAAGTAATGCAAAGTATCATTCCGTGATGTATGGAACTTCTTGGACCTATGAAAAGATTATACAAAGAGAGAGAGAAAGAGAGAGCAAAAGAAAAAAAGATAGAGAAGAGAGCACTAGAAGAAAGTCATGTTGGTTGAGTTTACGGTAGGGTCTGAGTTGAAATATAGAAAAAGAAAATACATATGGACGAGAAACAAATAAAACACACATAATTGCATGACCTCGAAGAAACACTCACCGTCCGTTTTTTTTTTTTTTTTTTTCTTTCAAAAAAGATATAAAAAAAAAAAACGGAATGCCACTTTTAATTTATACCTCCACTACTACTATTACTACTACAGTTATTACTACCACTACTACTAGTCACCACGCTTACTACGTTCATTACTTAGGACCAATTAATTGATTCTCGGATGGAAAGCAAAAAGTAAAGGATTTTTGCTTAGCGTTAACTTTTTTTTCACTGATTCTCTTTTTTTTTTTTTCGTTCATGGCTTGTTTTGCCTCCCCACCAAAAACAAAAAGCAAAAAACAAAAAGGAAAGGGGGCATGAGAGTGAAAAAGAAAAAAGGAACTCTGGCGAGATGTGTTTATATGGGAATTATGGGGAGAAAAAAAAAGGAGTTATGGGGGTGACGGTCTACTGTGCGTTGGTACCGACTCCCTAATCTTCATTTTGGCATCTTCTCATTTTTTTATTTTTGTGCCGTTTTTTTTTTTTTTTTTTTTCTTTTTCATGTCGCCAATGGACCGACTAGTTATTGTATGTGATTGAGAAATATGTTTTTTTTTTGCATTGTATTCAGAAATAGTATGTGTGATGTGGTCTACCACTGTTTCGGACCTCATTACATTATTACTATTTTATTTTTTGTTTTCTATTTCTCTATTTCTTCCTTGCTTCTTTCTTATTTTCTTGGTTGTCCTTGTTATTCTGTTTCTCTCATTCTTTGAATTTGATGTATACAAAAAAAAAAAAAAAAAAAAGGTTTTGCAATTTTAACAGAAAGAAAAAAAAATTATAAGGGTAAAAGGGATTTTCTCCACTATATTTTTTTTTTCTTCTTATTTCCTTCCTTGAAGAGTGAGCACACTCTTTGCTACTTGGTACTTCCTGTACGACTCGCAAACAACACTGGAGGTCTGTTAGTGTGTGTGTGTGTCTGTAGTTTGTGGGGATGAACAATTATCAAATCTATGATGAAATTGGTAAAGGACGATTTAGTAGTGTATACAAAGGACGGAGGAAAAAAACTATTGAATACTATGCCATTTCATCCATTGACAAATCTCAGCGACAACGAGTATTGAGAAATGTAAGATTTCTTCGATCAGCACATCATCATCGCATTATTAAGTTTCACAATTGGTATGAGACAAATAATCATCTTTGGGTGATAACAGAACTCTGTACAGGCGGTGATCTTCGTCAAGTCCTAACACTTGATACCTGTCTCTCAGAAGCAGCTGTACGTATGTATGGTGGTGATATCGCCGAAGGTTTAATGTACATTCACTCTAAAGGTGCAGTATATGGTGATTTAAAACCATCCAATATTTTAATGGATTCTACCATGACGATGCGTTTTTATGATTTTGGTTTATCATGTGATTTTAGTGCTGTTCGTAGTGAAGGATCTGTAGGTACACCTTTATATATGGCACCAGAACTTTTTACGAGAGATGGTGTTCCTTCTATAGCCTCTGATCTCTGGGCTTTAGGTTGTCTTTTATGTGAGATGATTACAGGTAAACCACCCTTTGAAGGAAAAGATCTTCCATCTCTTATCACTAATATCATGACAGAACCCTTTCGTCGTCAAGAGGGATTATCCAATGCGGTGAATGATTTATTAGAAATACTTTTAGTGAAAAATCCATTAGAGCGTGCTACTTGGGGTGATGTGGTGTCGAGTGATTTATGGCAGGGAAGACTGCAATTGCCCACCGCATCATTTCCACCACAACCCGCCTTTGAACGGATGAAACGTCTCGTCGCTGCGAGTATGACTTGGCCTCTCTCCAGTAAAGAAGTGAAAAAACATGTAGAATGGGTATTGGAAAGTGCTAAACGTAATTTTATTGTGGCTCAATCCGCTAGTGAGGCGGTAGAGCAGAAATATCCCGGTGTTGCGGAAGAAATAGATTTGAGAGATCACGCCGCATTGGGTGAATCTGCAGGAGATGGAAATAATAATAATGATACCGTCACTCATGGACAAGGTGGTAGAAGAGATTCTGGAGGTAATAATGTGGTGGCTACACAATCACAGTTTGTTCGAAATAGAGATCGAATGCCAAACGATGGGGGTATTGTAGGAAATCATAATAATAATAATAATAACAAAGCCAATGGTAATACTTTACAAGATGCAGGAGTACCATTTTGTACACTTGATAATATGCGTTTAGATGAACTCCTGACTCATACATCTGATGCTCATATTAGACCTCTTGTTATGAATGTTCGTATAGAACGTTTTGTAGAACAAAAATATGATCCTACATCACTTGGATTTGATCCACCTACAAAGAGTGAATTAAGAGGATTTACTGAACAACAACAAGCACAATTTATAACTATGATATATCGAGCACTTTCTTCTTCTAGTATAGGGTATGAAGAAAAATTAAATATTCTCTGTTATTTTGAAACTGTTTGTACAGATGCTGCTATTGCTAATTTTGTGGTAAACAGTTCCGTGATGACATTATGCCTTAGTATGGCATCTCACCATAAGGCACCTTCTAGTTATAGAGCTACTGCTATTTCTATTATGAGTATACTTGTACGGCATGCAACTTTTATCCATACAGATCTCGCTAAAGCGAATATCCTTTCTTCTTTATTAAAAGTTTATATAGAAGAAGAAAGTCCACGGGTAAAACGTAAATTAGCCGCATGTATAGGAGAATTATTAATTTACATTGCTGTACAGCGAGAACGTGATCGAGCTGTGTGGAACATTGATGTTTCTACTACTTTTACTGTTTATATGAATATTTTAACAGATGCGGATGATGTACTAAAACATTATGCTGTAAAGGCAATTGAAAATCTTGCTTCCGTAAGTGATTGTGGTGTAGCTATTGAAATTTTTGCAAGACCAGAAACAATAACAGCACTATTAGCTATTTACGCATTACCACCAGCTTCTACTCGTAGTGATCATATGCGTTCAAGTGCATTATGTGGGGCATTAAAATTATCCATGGTAAAAGAAGATCTTATGCCAGTTGTACTTGAATCACCACATTTAAAAATATTATCATATGGTGATGTTCTTACTGGAGCTGTAATGCCAAAGGCGTCTCAATCATTATTAACATTTATTAATATGGCCCTTGTAAAAAGTCTTGTTGGGGTTAAAAATCCAATTGCTATTCAATGGGGAAAAGAATCAGGTCCTTTTGCTTCAACACGTCTCTCAAGTGAAACTTCTCAACGAATAATTACAACCATTAGTAAAGTTGCAGAATCTATGGTACGTGGATTATGTGAAGGAATTGAACATGCAAATGTAGCTATAAAAGGTAAAGCCTTAATTTTGTTCATTCTTCTTGGATGCATTGATGGAAATTTATTAGTGAGAATATGTTCCAGTAGAAGTGTTGCATATATTGATAGTATTGTACGAGATAAAGATTCATATGTACAACGATGTGCCGCATGTTTGGCATGTTTTTTCTCTTCATTTTTTGATACTCAATTGATGGAAATACCAAATATGATGACAGAGACCACAACATCTGTAGGAGTAGCGACAACACTCGCTACTGTGAATGTAGTGTATAATATTATGAGTGCCCGTAATTTTGGTTCAATGGTGGAATTAAGTAATAAGGTTTTTGTTAGTCTTGGGGCATGTCTTGAAAAGTCCTTATCTTCTTCACGCTACGCAGAGTTTGAAATGGAATTTAATAAACTTGTAGAGTTATTAGCTCAGAATAGTGAACGAATTCGAAAACATCGTCGTGCGGTGGCAGGTGAACTTTTTCCACCTTATTTACATATGCTTAGCGATTCTAATAGTGAACGACGTTTTTCAGCTTTGCGTATTTTAAGTGCATTTGTTGTACCACTTATGGATGTTTCAAATCAAACCCCTGAAGAAAAAACTCTTGAAGGTGAGAAATTAGATCACGTTATGCAAACAATAGCTACATCTCTTTCTGTATTATTAAAAGAAAATGAACCAATTCCTATTCATGCTATTCGTCTTCTTGCTAGTTGTGCTGAACAACGTCCAAAATCATTTGAAGAAATTGCAAACGTAAAATTAATAGGAGAATTGGTACGTTATATGATACGATCAAAACAAAGTGATCTCTCTGTACCTCTTCAATTACTATTACTTGCATTACAAACAGAACGGGCATCTGATATTATGGATTTTCTTATAACTCAAGACTTTATCAATGCTGTTCTTTTAAAGACATTAACTATGGCAGTCTCAAAGGAATTGGATCATCTTTTAGAATCATGTTGTGAACTTTCCGCCTTTTTCCTCAAACATGCCTTAAGTGGAACCAATACTCGTCTATCGCAGGGGTGTCTTGTACTACTTCCACCGCAGCATGGCCTTATTACTCTCTGGTTACCACTGTGTTTATCGCCGGTGCGTGCCGCAGCTGAAAATGCCGCTATTTGTGTATACTACTTTGTTAAAGCTTCAACAGAAGCACAACAGGATATGTTGTCCTCAGATGGTATTCAACAAGTGGTAGATATTCTTTCGAACACAAATAGTAACCAAACGGCAGTCTTTTACGTTCTTCGTGCCTTGCGGTATACCTGTGAACGAAGTCGTAAACGTAATTTGCAACGACTTTCGCCATCGCTGTTCACCTCACTGGAAACTATTACACGTGTAAGCGGCGACAACAAGGAGTTGTGCGCAGAAGCAACAGCTATAATGGAGCTTATTCGTGGGTAAACAAAAAAAAAAAAAAAAAATAGAAAAAAAAGAAGAAAAAAAAAAAGAGGAACAGCTAACAGGTGAAGAAGAAAAAGAGGGATAAAAGGTAGTAAGAGACGAAAAATTTTTATATTTTTGATGGTACTTGGATGTTGAAGTGATGCAGAAATAATAGGGAGGGATGTGTATGTGTGTGTATGTGTGAAATGAATGAAGCACAGAATAGAAATCAAAGGCGTATAATAATTAAACGCCTATACACCTTGTGTTTCACTCATACACATACACATGCACGCATAAACATACATGCACACGTACGCACATATATACATATATATATGTACACATACTTGTACGTTGGGCCTATCTTTTATTTTATTTCTTTGGGTTACTTTAGGGTCTTCCTATGTTTTTTTTTCTTTTTTTTTTTTCGCTTTTCTGCTCATCTTTCTGTGTTGCATGTGAATAATTTTGACTTGATACCGTGCTTTATTGTTTTTCCTCCATTTTTTTTTTTTTACTATTCCAGAATAATAATAAAAAAATACTGGATATGAAGAATCACCTCATATGGGGTACATTTTTGGATGAGTATTAACTTTTCCTGTGAAATGTATCTTTTCCTTTCTTTATAAATTCTTTTTTTTTTTCTTTTTTTTTTCTACTTTATATCTACCTCTTACTGTAATCATAGGAGCAGTTGATTCGTTTGTGTCTTGATTGATAGGTGAATTCTTTCTTCTTTTGTACTTTCACCTGCAATGCTTCAGCATCACCTGCGTCCGGACCCAAAGTATCCTTCCTCTACTCTGCTGCGCACGAAAAAACTCCAACAGCAACAACAACCGCAGCAGCAGCAACAGCAACAACAACCACCATCTTCACATTCAGGAAGGAGTGAACATGCAGCGACGCTGGGCGGTACACGGAGCGAGCGACGGAGTCCCAGTCCATCCAGAGGACTTGTTGGTATTAGTGCTACATACAAGGAGACGGCAATTCTCTTTCCGGATGCTGAGCAAGCAGCGTTTGAGCCAAAGGTGCAGGTGCCATTTGAACACCAACGAGGACGTATTCCACGCAAGATTGAGATTGAGCGTCGTCGCCGTCAGTATGAGTCGCATGATGTCCAACACTTGTTGGATGTAGCGGGTCTAACGTTGGATCAACTTGCGTGTGAGAGTGCCCAGGAACTTCCGCTGCAGGTCTTTGATGACACTTCCTACGATTGCCGCAACCCTGCGGAGTGGATGGAGATTGCGCATCGCAGCGAGAGGGAAGAGGGCCGCTACCTGCCGGCGGAGGGAATTTACGAGTTCCGCCCTGGCGACTTCCGCCTTCGCCCGTGCCGTGTGATTGACTGGGACGCTTCTCGCAACGAACTGCGCGTCTTGTGGGGATCCGTGCGGGTGCCGGGGGAGCAGCCGTCGGTGCTGCCGCGATTGTTCGTGCGGCTGCTGGCGGAGGACCCGCTGGTGTACGCGCGGCGGCTGGCGGCGGCGGCGGGGCAGCGGGCGAAGGCGACGGCGTGGATCCGCTACCGCCTCTGCTGCGACGCGATGCCGACGGCCGGCCTCCCCGCCCCCGACGCCGCCCTCCGCGCCCGCCTCCGCGCCGGCGCCACCGCCAGCCGCCCGCTCGCCCCCGTCGCGTACCCGGACGGCCAGCAGCGCGCCAACAAACTCCTCGCGGAGATCACACTAGAGTGGCAGCGCAGCCACAACAGAATTCTGCTGCAGGAGCGAATGCGCAGGGATGCCGTACTCATGCGAATGGTCGCAAACGCAACACAGATGAGTATGGAGGAACTCGTCCGGGGCCCAAATGTGGCCATACAACGTACAGAAATGGGAAATCCAAATACCGTCATCACCATGGGGAACTTTGACTTTGAGGAAAGGGAGCAAGCCTTCACCTTTTCCACATACTACACACAACCAGAAGTCGTCACGGCGTTGACAGGGGTACGGAGCGAATGTATAAAGGTTTTAGAGGGAAGTCTCTTTAGTCTTCCAAAGGAACGACAAATGCAACTCACAGAGTTTCAAAAATTGCAACAGGAACACATGTCATCTATGGCAAAATACTTAAAAGGAGAATGGACAGAAAATATTTGCGAAGTTATAAGAAAAAGTTTTACATCTGCAGGAAAAGGATGGTTAAATGTTCATGAATCAAAACAAGAAATTTATGAGATGTCAAAACTTAAAAAGTTTTTTACAACAGTGAAATATATGATGGAAGATACTTTATTTGAACTCGTCTACACCTCATTACGAAATTTTACAGACTTTTTTGAGGAAGTTTCAGAGTTTACAGTCAATGTTATTGATATGAATAATGTTGAAAATAAATGGCCTGGAAGTGATGCGGATGATTGCGTTGAAAAGCAACCTTTATTTACTATTGGTCTTGCCGAAAGGGATGGATGTTTCACATATTCTATTTCCTTTGAAGACTTTGAGAAAACCATTGTGGATCTCTTTAACAATGCTATTTATTGTACAGATGCTATTCCACAAGTAGAGAAGTATGTTATGTCACAATATTTCTGGAGACGTGATGGAGAAGGACCTTTTTTGGATTCTGTAAAGCAAGAAGAAGAACATGTGGTACTTTTACGAAAACGTGTAACTGATGCATTGAGGAAATCGATGCAGCCATTATACGATTATCTTAAAATGTATGATGATCTTTTACCATTAGTACGACTTGATAAGAAGAAGTTTATTGAAGAATATGCACAGGAAGAACATACGACAGAAGACATGAAGGAAGAAATTAGAAGACATCTTAAAGCTAAGAAGGTGGTGGCACAAAAACTTCCAGCGTACATTACAGTTGGAAATTATGTAGTGGATTGTCAATCATTTGGACAAATTATGGCTAATAAAGAACAAGATCTTGCCAAACTTGTTATGAACCTTATATGTAAGATGGCAAAGTCCAAGACAATATACATTCGGGATGAATTTTCAAAAATTGTACGAACATTGGAGAAACAACCTCAAAATCCAGAAAAATTATATGAATTAAAAAATTTTATAGCCAATACTCCAGAACGAATTACCGAACTTTCTGCTGAAATTGAAGACATGCGTCAGTATTATAATATTTTAGATGGATTTCAATATGAATTGACAGATGATGAATCTCGGCAAAAGTGGGAAGCTATTGCATGGCCAAGACAACTTACTCTTCGTATACTGGATATTAATAAAGAGCTTGAAAAGGTTCAGGAAGAATTACACGCACGTTTGCAAAAAGAGGGTGAAGAATTTTCCAAGAAAGTGGATGCCTTACAACGTGTGGTGGCAACCTTTTCTAAATACACAGATGCCTCAGAAGCAGAAAAGGTTGCGGCAGAAGTTAAGACGAATAGTATTGAAATTCGGAAGTGTATTGAAGAAGCACGTTCTATCAATAGTGATCAACGTTTATTTGGGGATAAACTTACTGATTACCGTAATGTTTTTGAACTTGAAAAAGAGTTTAAACCCTACAGTGATTTATGGTTAACAACCTATCAATGGCAAGATTGCTATCGTCGTTGGCATACCGATCCATTTGAATCTCTCGACCCTGATGAAATTGAATCTGTCGTAATAAATGCCTTTAAAACTATGACCCAATTAGCTAAAACTTTCAAAGATAAGAATGCTACTTTAAAAATTGTGGAAGAAATAAGAAGTAAAGTAGAAGCATTTAAACCATGGGTTCCAATAGTAACTTCACTTCGTCAACCAGGTATGAAAGAACGTCATTGGAAAGGTCTTTCAGAAAAACTAAATATGAATCTTTCACCTGGTGAAACTATTATGCTATTAGATGATATTGAACCATTATTAGAACATAAGGATGTTATTATTGCTCACTGTGAAGTTGCTGGAAAAGAGGCACAAATTGAAAAGAGTCTCAAAGATATGCGTGCCAAATGGGAAAGTCGTGTTTTTGTTATTGAACCATATAAGGCAACTGGTACATATATTGTAAAAGACGCTTCTGAAGTTGTGGAACTTTTAGATGAACATCTTAATCTTACACAACAACTTCAATTTTCACCTTTTAAGGCATATTATGAAGAAGCTATTACAGATTGGGAACGTTCACTTAATCTTATTTCAGATATTTTAGAACAATGGTTAGAATGTCAACGTTCATGGAGGTATCTAGAACCTATTTTTTCTTCTGAAGATATTGCATTACAACTTCCACGTTTATCTAAATTATTTGATCGTGTAGATAAAAATTGGCGTCGTATTATGGGAATTGTTCATATTCAACCAAATGTTTTGGATTTTTGTATAGGGACAAGTAAGCTTCTTGAAAGTCTTAGAGAGTCTAATCGACTTCTTGAAGAAGTTCAACGAGGTCTAAATGATTACTTGACTGATAAACGTCAAGCATTCCCACGGTTTTACTTTCTTTCAGATGAAGAATTACTTGAAATTCTTTCTCAATCTAAAGAAGTTAAACGTATTAATGCTCATATAAGTAAATTATTTGAGTTTATTAGTTCTCTTGAGTGGTCAGAGCTTACTCAAATTATTGGATTCCATAGTGGTGAAGGTGAATATGTTCCAAGTGTTCAACCAGTTACTCCTGAAGGAAATGTGGAAGTTTGGCTTCAATCTGTTGAAAGTATGATGAAAGAAGCTGTTCATAATCAGGTAAAACTAGCCTTTCGTGATTACACCGTTACCCCACGTGCTCAATGGGTTCTTCGCTGGCCTGCACAATGTGTTATTGCAGTAGCACAGATATTCTGGACAAATGGATGTGAAGAAGGATTAACAAAAGAAGGAAGTGTAAAAGATTTCTTTAATGTCCTTGAACATCAATTAGATGAGTTGGTAGATGTTGTTCAGTCACCACTTAAACCACGAGAACGTATTAATATGGGAGCTCTTATTACGGTAGAAGTACATGCTAAAGATACGGTAGAAGCTATGAAACGTAATGGTGTAAATTCTGTACATTCATTTGATTGGATGAAACAATTACGTTTTTATTTTGATGCTGTAGATGAATTATGTCATATTAAACAAGTGGATGCACATTTTATTTATGGTGGTGAATATCTTGGTAATACAGGTAGACTTGTCGTAACTCCACTTACAGATCGTATTTATTTAACCCTTACAGGAGCATTAGCATTATGTCTTGGAGGAGCTCCTGCCGGTCCTGCAGGTACTGGAAAAACAGAAACAACAAAAGATTTAGCTAAAGCACTTGCAAAACAATGTGTTGTTTTTAATTGTCAAGAAGGTATGACTTGTCTTTCTATGGCTAAATTCTTTAAAGGTCTTGCATGGGCTGGAGCTTGGGCATGTTTTGATGAATTTAATCGTATTGATGTGGAAGTCTTATCTGTGGTAGCACAACAAGTAACAGATCTTCAACAAGCTTGTCTAACTAAACAATACCGTATTATATTTGAAGGAAGTGAAGTTGTAGTGGATCCAACGCATGCGGTATTTATTACAATGAATCCTGGTTACGCTGGTCGTACAGAATTACCAGATAACTTAAAAGTTCTTTTCCGTCCTGTGGCTTGTATGGTACCAGATTATGCTCTTATTGGAGAAATTCGTTTATTTTCATACGGTTACAAAAAAGCAAGAAGTTTATCACAAAAAATGGTAATGACATTCAAATTGAGTTCTGAACAACTTTCTTCACAAGATCATTATGATTTTGGTATGCGTGCAGTTAATACGGTTATTTCTGCAGCTGGATTAAATAAAAGAGAAAATCCTAATGAAGATGAAGATTTATTACTTCTTCGTGCCTTACGTGATTCTAATGTTCCTAAGTTTCTTAAAGATGATATTGTCCTTTTTGAAGGTATTATTAGTGATTTATTCCCTGGTACAAAACTTCCTTCTACAGATTACGGTGTAGTCGTAGATGCTCTTCGTGAAGTTGTCGTGGCTGATAAACTACAACCTATTCCTGCCTTTATTGAGAAATGTTTACAATTGTATGATATCACTACTTTACGTCATGGTTTAATGTTAGTAGGACCTGCTGGAAGTGGTAAAACAATGGCGTATACAGCTTTACAAAAAGCTCTTTCTGAGTGTGCCATTATGCAAAGTAAAGGTAAAGATGTTGGAGCAAGAGATTATATGAAAGTTTATACACATATTTGTAATCCTAAAGCTGTTACGATGGATCAATTATATGGTGCATATGATGAAAATGGTGAATGGAAAGATGGTATTCTCTGTGTTCTCTTTCGTCGTGCTGCTAAGTATGGTGATGAGGGTAATCAATTAGGTAAACATTGGGTTATGTTTGATGGTCCTGTAGATGCTCTCTGGATTGAATCTATGAATACGGTATTAGATGAAAATAAAAAATTATGTCTTGTTTCTGGTGAAATTATTCAAATGAGTCGTGATATGACTATGATGTTTGAAGTGGAAGATCTTGCCGTGGCTTCACCGGCTACAGTTTCTCGTTGTGGTATGATTTATATGGAACCTACAGCCTGTGTTCCTACATATGCAAGTATAGAAACTTGGAAGAGTTCCTTACCTGGATATGTTATTTCTCAACAGGATTTAATAGCAGAATTAGCAAATATTTATGTGGATGAACTTATTCATTTTATGCGGTCTCACTTAAAGGAATATGTACCATCTACCAATAGTGGACTTGTACATTCTTTCTTTCGTATGATGAATGGGTATTTGGAATCCTTTTCAGTACCTAAACCACAACCTGGACAACCACCTTTAAGTCCTGAACGAGCAGAAATTTTTGCAAAGTGTATTAAACCTTTATTCTTTATGTCTATTGTATGGAGTATAGGTGCGACATGTGATGAAAGTGGTCGTGAACAATTCAGTGATATGTTGAGAACGATGGCTACTAAAAATCATCATAATGATTCCCTTCCGGAAGAAGGATTGGTGTATGATTATTGTTTTATGTATGCAGCATCACCAGAGGATGAAGTGGAACCACATTGGGTACATTGGAGTGAATTATGTGGAACTTGTGAAATTAGTCGAACAACTAAATTTGAAGATATTATTGTTCCCACTATTGATAATACTCGACAAAAGTACGTATTACAACATTTATTATTACAAAAAGTAAATGTTGTGGCTGTTGGTCCTACTGGTACAGGAAAAACGGTATCGGTAAGTGATTTAGTTTTGGGAGGTTTACCAGATCGACTTCTTGGTCTTACCTTTACATTTTCTCCACAAACAAAAGCAGGAGTCCTTCAAGATTCTCTCATGTCCAAGTTTGATAAACGTCGTTCTCATGTTTATGGTGCCCCTGTTGGTAAACACTTTTTAATATTTATAGATGATGCCAATTTACCGCAAAAGGAACGTTATGGAGCTCAACCACCATTAGAATTACTACGTCAATTGTTGGGTCATGGAGGTCTTTACACCTTTGTTGGTGGTATTAAGTGGAATGCTATTATTGATACTTCATTTGTAATGGCAATGGGACCACCAGGGGGTAGTCGTACACAAGTTTCTAATCGTCTTATGCGTTATTTTAATTATGTATCTTTTCCAGAAATGTCTGATGTGTCTAAACGGACTATTTTAAGTACTATTATGAATGGTGGTTTTAGACAACGACATATTAAGGAAGAAATTGTTGAATTTGCCTCTAAACTTGTTGAAGGAACCTTAACAGTATTTAAACGTTGTCGGAAAACTTTCTTACCAACACCATCACACGTACACTATTTGTTTAATATGCGTGATGTGATGCGAGTGTTTCCTATGCTTTACGCAAATGAGGCGAAAAGTTTACCCAATGAAGAAGTTTTGGTAAAACAATGGATGCATGAGATGCAACGAGTCTTTTATGATCGTTTAATTTGTGCAGAAGATAGAGAACAATTTATATCCTTCTTAGATGATGAACTTGTACATATTGGGTATGAAGGTGGATATAAATCACTGGTTCCAGAAGGAAGACTTATCTTTGCAGATTTCATGTCTTCAGGTGATCAAAGTTATCAACAAGTTACAGATATGAAAGCTCTTGCAACATTTTTTGATGATCAACTTCAATCTTACAATGATGCCAATGAAAGTGTGATGAATTTAGTTCTCTTCCTTGATGCTATTGAACATGTTTGTCGTATTGCCCGTGTCCTTTCTATGCCAAATGGTCATTGTCTTTTATTAGGTATTGGTGGTTCTGGAAGAAAATCCTTAACACGACTTGCATGTCACTTAATTCCAGAGATGGAAGTATTCTCTATTGAGTTTACTAAAAACTTTGGTGTAAAAGAATGGCATGAAGCTCTGGCAAAATTATTACTTGATTGTGGTAAGGATGATAAAAAACGTACTTTTCTCTTCTCAGATACGCAATTAATTAATCCTACGTTAATGGAAGATGTGGCTGGACTTCTTACTTCTGGTGATGTTCCTAATTTATTTGAGGATCAAGATATTGAACTTATCAATGATAAATTTAAAGGTGTATGTATGAGTGAAAACTTACCAACAACGAAAGTTTCAGTTTATGCACGATTTATAAAGGAAGTACGATCTAATCTTCATATTGTTTTAGCCTTTTCTCCTATTGGTGAGGCATTTAGAACTCGTTTACGTATGTTCCCTGCCTTAGTGACATGCTGTACAATAGATTGGTTTGCAGAATGGCCTGGTGAAGCACTTATTTCTGTAGCTAAAGCACAATTGGGAAGTTCAAAGGCTAAATTTACTCCTGATGAAATGAGTAATCTTTCAGAGTGTTTTAAATCTATGCATATGTCTGCAGCGGAGACAACAGAAAGATTCTTTGAGGAAACACGTCGTCGATCTTATGTAACCCCAACATCATATCTTTCCTTACTAAATACATACAGTTCACTTCTTCAAAACAGAAGACAATTTGTACAAGGACAGTGTAGTCGTCTTGAAAATGGATTAGATAAACTACGAGAAACAGAGGAACGTGTTGTACTTCTTGAAGCTCAATTAAAAGCTCAACAACCAGTATTGGAAAGGAAAAAAGAAGAAATTCAGACTATTATGGAACGTCTTCGTGTAGATCGTAAAGATGCTAATGAAAAAGAAGCGGAAGCCCGTCATGAAGAATCTGAAGCAACTGCAAAAGCTGAAGAATGTGCTAAAATGCGAACAGAATGTGCAGATCGTCTTGCCGAAGCTGAACCTGCTTTACAAGAAGCTGTTAAGGTACTTTCAAAGATTAAAGCTGCAGAAATTTCAGAGTTAAATAAATATCAAAACCCACCTAAAGGTGTACAATACGTTATGGAAGCTGTTGCACTGTTACTTACATTTGGAAATTGTCCAAAAGAATTTTATACCGGACCTCCAGGAGCGAAAAAGGTACCAGATTGGTGGATGTGTGCGAAATCATATATGAAAAATGCCAATCAATTACTGGATACATTAGTTCAACCACCAGGTAAAGGTGGATTTGATAGAGAAGCTATGGATATGCCATTAATAGAAAAGGTACGTGTATATTATGAAAATGAAGAATTTCAACCAGAAAAGGTCAAGACAGTATCTGTTCCTTGTATGGCTATGTGTCAATGGGTACGAGCAATGTATAAATGGTTTTTTGTAAATCGTGAAATTCAACCTTTACGTGAACGTCTTGCAGAAGCAGAAAATGAACTTCGTCGTGTAAATGCAGCCCTTGCGGAAACTCGTAGAAAATTAGATGCTGTTATTGAAGCTGTGGCTACACTTGAAAGAGAATTTACAGAAGCTGTAGAAACACAGACAGAGTTAGAAAATGAAGTGGAACGTACAAGTCAAAAACTTCATCGAGCTGCTCGTCTTATTGATGGTCTTGGTGGAGAAAAAGTTCGTTGGTCTGAACTAGTGACTCAATACAAAGCACAGGAAATCTGTTTATCTGGAGATATGTTGATGGCCTCTGCATCTATTGCCTATCTTGGACCTCTCACAGGCCCATACCGTAAACATCTCTTAGAGGAATGGAGTAAACTTATTGCAAGGATTGGTATTAAAACAAGTGAACATTCAGATCTTGTATCTACAACAGGAGATGCTGTTCGAATTCAAGAATGGCAACTTTGTGGACTTCCACAAGATCCACTTTCTACAGAGAATGCTATTATTCTTATGAATGCACGTACATGGCCATTATTAATTGATCCTCAAGGTCAAGCTAATACATGGATTCGAAATATGCATAAGAATGATAATTTACAAGTATGTAAGGCATCGGATGAAAAATTTATGAAAACTGTAGAAGGTGCTATTCGTTTGGGTCTTCCTTGTTTATTGGAAAATGTAGGTGAAAGTTTAGAACCTGCATTAGAACCAGTTTTATTACGTAATGTATTTCTTATTGGTAGTACACCACATATTCGTGTTGGTGATTCTGCTATTCCGTATGATAGGAATTTTAGATTTTACATGACAACAAAATTACCTAATCCCGTATATACACCAGAGACTATTGTGACAGTATCCTTATTGAATTTTTTCATTACACGAAGTGGATTGGAAGATCAACTTCTTGGAAAAACTGTAGAAAAGGAACGTAATGATCTTGAACAAGAAAAACAGAAACTTATTCGTGATTCTGCAGAGAAAAATCGAGAATTAAAAGAAATGCAGGAAAATATTTTACGTATGCTAGAAGAGGCAGAAGGTGATATATTAGATCAAGAAGAACTTATTGAGGCTCTTGAAAAGAGTAAAATTAAATCTACTGAAATTAAGAGTGATTTACAGCGTGCACGGGAAACAGAGAAAACTATTGATGAAACTCGTAATAAATACCGTCCTCATGCCTATCGTGGAGCATTATTATTTTTCTGCGTATCTGAACTCGCAATGGTAGATCCTATGTATCAATTCTCTTTACAATGGTTTATTAATCTTGTATTAGTAGCTGTGGATAATACAGAAAAGGCTGAAATAATTGAAGAACGTGTACAAAAACTAACAGAGTATTTTACCTACTCTTTTTACACAAATGTATGTCGTTCATTATTTGAACGTCATAAATTAACCTTTTCTTTTTATTTATGTACATCCATTCTACAACAAGAGAATGCACTTGATATGGAAGAGTATCGTTATTTACTTACAGGACCTACTGGACGTGGTGGAGATGCAACCAATCCTGCACCTGAATGGTTAACAGAGAATTCATGGGATGAAATTCAATTTGTAGGATCAAATTTACCAAACTTTAAAGGATTTGCTCATCATGTGATTGAACATATTACCCACTATAAGGCTTTATTTGATAGTCTTAATGCTCATACATATATTTTACCAGGTGAATGGACAGGAAGAGAAACACATTTACAACGACTTATTATTACTAGATGCTTTAGGAAGGATAAATTATCAGCTGGAATTCAAGAATTTGTAAAGCATTTTATGGGTGAACGTTTTATTATTGTTCCACAATTTGATTTAATGGATGCTTATAAAGATAGTACTTGTCTTACTCCACTTATTTTTATTATTTCACCTGGTTCAGATCCAATGAATGATCTTCTTCGTTTTGCTGAACAAATGCGTATGTCGAAAAAACTTGACAAGGTTTCTCTTGGTCAAGGTCAAGGACGTAAAGCAGAAGAATTATTAAATAATGGAAGAGAACGAGGTCAATGGGTTCTATTACAAAATTGTCATTTAGCAACATCATGGATGCCAACATTAGAAGCTATAGTGGAAAGTTTTACTCTTGAAACTGTTCGTAAAGAATTTAGACTTTGGCTTACTTCTATGCCTTCAGAATCTTTTCCTGTAGCAGTTTTACAAATTGCTGTTAAAATGACAAATGAACCTCCAATGGGTCTTCGTGCTAATGTAACTCGTTCTTATTATGGTCTTACAGATGAAGATCTTGATCATCCTACTAAACCACGAGAATTTAAAATGATGGTTTTTGCTCTTTGCTTATTTCATGGTGTTATTCAAGAAAGACGAAAATTTGGTTCACTTGGATTTAATATAGCATATGAATTTAATGATTCAGATCGTAATGTATGCCTTTTACAACTTCGAAAATTTATGTCTTTATATGATGAAGTTCCTTTTGATGTATTAACATTTCTTACTGGTGAAATTAATTACGGTGGTCGTGTAACAGATGATTGGGATAGACGATGTTTGATGTCCATAATTAAAGATTTCATTAATCCTCAAGTCCTAAAAGAAGGGTATTCCTTTTCTCCTTCTGGTTTATACCGTACAATTGAACCATATGATCGTGCTTATTATTTGAATTACCTTAATTCATGGCCATTAAACCCAGAACCTGAAGTATTTGGATTACATGATAATGCCGATATTACATGTGCCCAAAGTGCGAGTGCTAATATTTTAGCAACTGTTCTTTCTTTGGTTTCACATGAAAAATCAGGATCCTCACTTCATAGTCGAGAAGAGATGCTTATGCGAACAGCACAATCTATACAAGAAAAATTACCAAAGACTTTTAATATTCAAGAATTTTATGCAAAATATCCTACACGATATGAAGAATCTATGAATACTGTACTTGTACAGGAAGCTGTACGATATAATCGTCTTTTACGTTTTGTACAAGTAAGTCTTGCGGAATTTTCCAAAGCTGTACGTGGTGAAGTTGTCATGTCTGCTGATTTGGAGGCAGTTGGTTCGAGTTTCTTTATAAATGCCGTTCCTGCCTCTTGGGCCACACTTGCCTATCCCTCTCTTAAGCCACTCTCGAGTTGGATGGATGATCTTGTGCGGCGAATTGCGTTCATTCAGTCCTGGTACGACTCTGGTGTGCCCAAGTCCTTCTGGATGGGCGGTTTCTTTTTCCCGCAGGCCTTTTTGACTGGCACGCTGCAGAACTTCGCCCGCCGCACCCACGTGGCCATTGACTCCGTCTCCTTCCGCTTTACGCTCCTCGACCCCGACGAGAGGGAAAGAGAAAAGACAAACGAAGAAGAAGAAAAAGAAATGGTGGGGGCGGTGGTGCATGGCCTGCACTTGGAGGGGGCCCGCTGGGATGCGGCCCGCCACTCCCTCGCCGAGTCGCGGCCGAAGGAACTTTACGTCGACATGCCGCCCGTCCACCTCGAGCCCGTCGTCGATCACGTCCCCAACCCGAACGATTACGTCTGCCCCGTCTACAAGACACTCACGCGCGCCGGCACACTGAGCACCACGGGGCACTCGACGAACTTTGTGCTTGCGATCAGCATCCCCACAGAGGAGGATCCAGAGCATTGGATTAAACGAGGAGTGGCCTGCGTGGTATCGCTCAATTTCTAGAGATCTTTCTCTTTGTATGTAGAGAGAAAGAAGGAATACATACCAAGGACGAAAAAGAAAGAAAAAAAAATAGAGAGAGAGAGAAGGAAAGAAAAAGAAGAAAGAGAAAAAAGAAAGAATGGAAAGACAATGATGTAAATACAAAAAAAATGAAGTTCTTTTTCCCTTTTTTGTTTACTTTTTTTTTTGTTCTTCTTATGATGGTGATGGTTATAATTATTCTTCTCTTGCGTGACCTCTCCTTTTTTCTTTTATTTTTAGTTTTTCTTTTATTTTTCTTTTTTATTTTTGCTTTCTGGCACCAAAGACAATTTATGGAAATCTAGAAAGTTGTATGTACTTCATCAAAGTAAAAAAAAAAAAAAAAACGAGGGTCACCGAAAGAAAAGAATTAATGTTATGCAGAAACGTTTTTTTTCTATTTTCCTTTCTTCTTTTTTTTCATTACTGGATAGAGGGGTGTCAATAGTGAAGGCACTTCTCTTTTATGTGTGTGTTTAAGTTTTTTTTTAATTGTTTTTTTTTTTTGAAATTTTAATATATTATAATGAATTTACTTCTTTACTCCTTTTTTTCTTTCTTGTTTTGTATTATTCTTATTAAATATTATACACATATTATTTCAAGAGGTATCGCGTAGGGGTTTAGGTGGTAGTTGACGGATAGGAAATGGCACAAAAAGCTCTGAAGGGAAAGTCCCGCGCGAAGAGTGTTGGAGCTCTGCGCAAGTACGTTGGTGAGTCCAAGAAGAAGACAGTCCACACAAAGAGCAAAAAGACAGTGGAGGCAAAAGCACGAGCAAACTACATCGCTTCTGTGGAGTCTCATATGGCTGCCCGTGTGCCATCTGACCAGCGTGGCCGAATGACTATTATTAAAGCCACTGGCCCAGACGCAGTAGTAAAGAAAAAGAAGAACATGAAGAAGCCTCTGACCAGAGGGCGTAAGCGTAAGGGAGCGAAGAAGGCGTAAGCGAAGAATAAAGAATATATAAAGAAAATAAACTTTTCCATTTCTGCTTTTGCAGTTGGCATCTGTAATAAAGGATCGTTTTTTTTTTTTTTTTTTCTTTTAATGTTTTGTACATGCACTTTTTTATTCTTCCTTCAAAAAGGGACCTTGGAAGAAAAGAACTCTCTTTTTTTTCTTTTTGGACAGATATTCCTGTTTTCTTTTTTTTTTATTTATTCTTCTTTGTTATTAGTGTTTTATGGGAGTGAACCAGTAGACATATTTAGTTGTATTAGCGCAACTAAGTAGTTGTCTTTTAAAGAAAGTAAAGGTAAAACAACGTTACACCACAAAGTGAGGAAGAAAGGGGGAAAAAAAAAGAAAAGGATAACAGGGCTGCTATTGGCACTGTTCTTTTTTTTTTTTTTCTATTTCTTCTGTGGCTTTTGGGCTCTCTCTCTCTGTGTCTGTGGCGATCCCATTTGTGTTGTCTCTCTTACATTTATTCATAGTTAATATATATATATTCCTCTGCCATGTCAGCCTCGCCGTCTTCAAAGATGCGGAATCGCATGCAAGAATTAGAGGATGAAGTTAATTTTCTTCGAGAGCAGAATTATCACATTCAACGGCTAAGTGATACATACCGTGAGAGAGTCTCAAGACTAGTGGCTGCCATTCAATTTAAATCCCACACCGACACTCCTCTGGCTTTCCCAACAGTAAAGGATTTAGAGGACTTGGTGGGTCGTCTGCGTTCCCGTGATATTCCCCAGGCTTCTTCTTCTTCCTTGTCTCCCCCATTGGAGTGTAAAGAAACAGAGAATACACCAAAGAAGTTATTGAGCCGCGAGAATGATGATGGGCTTATGCAAAGTACGAGTTCACTTTCTCATTTAACAGCAAAGGAAGAAGAAAATGTGAAAGCGTGTAAAGGTGGTAAAAGTAAATCTAGTGGAAAAAAGAGTAAATCACCACATACTACTACTACTACTACAACTACTACTACGGAAAAAAATACATCAGCGCAAGGTGCACAACGTTCTATAATTGCGAGATTAACGGCCGAAAATAAGAATTTAGCTTCACTTGTTGATACATTAAAGTTACATCTCTCAACTGCCACTCAAGTTAATAGTACTTTGAGGAAAAAACTTCGATCACTTTCTTCTTTTGAGAATTCTTCCCATTCATCACCAAGTGGACAAAGGTATAATGCTAATACTGCTGCTTCCAATAAATCGCCTGGTTCCTCTCCTCTACAGAAAAAGTTAAAGAATCTCGAAGAGGAAAATGAGAGACTTCGTAGTGTAGTTGAAAATGGGGAACAAGTAATGCAAGAAGTTTTACATTATAAAACTCTCTTACAGAGAAAAGGCGCGGAAGTTGAGGCCATTAAGCGACGTGAAGAGAATACTATGAAAGAATTGAATTCTGCACGAGAGGAACTTTCCAAGGCAACTGAAACTATTCGATCACTTGGGACAGCTCTTAAATTGAGTAAAATTCGTGAGAAGAGGGCAGTTTCTGCAAAAGGAGAAGTGCAAAAAAAGAAGAAAGAAGAACAAGAACAACAACAACAAGAATCTCCATATCAGGTAGTAGAAAAAGAAGAACAAGAGAAACAAGAGAAACAAAAACAGGAAAATCAACGAATGGAATTATTTCTTAGTCAGAAATTCACAAATGATCTTACGAATTACCTTTCTACTCTGATGACAGAACACCATACCCTTTATGGAGAACATCTATTTCTTTATTTTGTTATCCACCTGGCGTTTGCACAAAAAATTATTAATGGAAAAAAAGAATCAATATTACAAACTTGTATTAAAGAGAGTTTTGATAAAAATGTAATGTATGAATCATTTATGTTGCTTTTGGATGAACTCATTGAACAAATAAGGTGTGATGAAAGAAACGCATTCATAAAGACTACTCCTCTAACCTCCACCTTATTAAATATGGATAGGAATGAAAAGATAACGGGCGACACCAATTTTATGGGGGAAAATAAATGTAAGGTATTTCATTTAGACTCTAACACTTCAGAGAAATTAGCGACATTGAATATCCCATTCGAACTGAGACGCAGTGATATAGTAGAAATCAACGATAACACACTAGTAGAAGAAGATGAAGAAGAAAAAGAAACAGAAAAGGAAATCCATTATGAAGGATCTCATATTGCAACCTACTTTTTACCCTCAGCTCATCATGCCATGTTAGATGCTGCAACAATCACACTCTCACCTATTCAAATTAGCCGTGCAGTGGGACGTAGTCTTCCTGTTTCGCCAATTTACACAAATGAATACACAGAAACAATATCACCGGTGTTGATTAGCCGCGCTGTTGGAACAAGTCCCTTCAATGAAGTAGTGTGTTTACCACAAGTTTATTCTACTCCTGAGAAAGCTGAAATAAAGATAGATGGATCTAAACAAGAAGAATAACTCTTGAGAAGTTGCAGTTGAAACAAATCTCAAACTTTTATTGGAGGAATTATTATTATTATATTTTTTTTTATTTTGCCCAATAAACATTTTCAAAGTCTCTCTTGTATCGAGTTTCGCAGAAAGACAGGGTGTGTTTGCCGATATGTACGTGTTTATGGGGAGAGACTGACAATAAAAACGGCTTGACTACCAAGTATTATCGATTATTTATTATTATTATTATTATTATTATTATTATTATTATTATTATTTCTTCTCCTCTCTTTATATGTCTTTTTTCTTTTTTATCATTATTATTAGTTGCTTCTTCTTTTCATGGTACGTGCGTACACAATACAAATACGTATGCACGGAGTTATTTCTAATAATGTCTTATTAATTCCTATTTCAGAGAGCTTGTTAAGACTCTTTTGGATAGTGAAAAAAATAGCTCACGTTTATCGTTTCCTTAATATATATATTTTTTAAAGTACTTCTATTGCTTATTTCTTGTCTTTATTATTATTATTAATGTTATTGTTTTTTTTTCTTTTTTTCAAACTTGCTGCGAAACGTTATGATTTTCTTTTTTATTATTCTCTTTTTTTTTTTCTTTCTTGTTATATTGATTTAATTTATATTTGCTACTATAGAAGAAAAAGTGCAGTGTGTGAAATTCCTGTGTGAGTGGCGGGTAATAGTGATTTTTTTTTTTTTTTTTCTTCAGTGCAAGGTTCTTTTCAGTTTGAAAAGAGGGAAAAAATGACAACTTCCCCCTCGCGCCTATCAATGAGTTCCTTCGAGGTTATTCGAGTCGTTGGCGAAGGTTCTTATGGAGTTGTTCTTAAGTGTCGATGTAAGCGAACAGGAAGTATTGTGGCCATCAAGCAATTTAAAGATGCCACTTTAGATGAATACGCACAACGTGTGATGTTGCGTGAGTTGCGCGTATTAAATTTACTGAAAGGAGAACCGAATGTCGTGCAATTGAGAGACACATTTCATGATAAAGGGAGACTTTGTTTGGTGATGGAGTATGCGAGTGGGACTTTATTAGATGTGATTCGTCAACGACCCGATGGGGTTCCATTGTCACAATTAAAGTCTCTTCTTTTTACTCTTCTTGTGGGTTTACGATCATGTCATCGCAAAGGAATTATTCATCGTGATGTGAAACCAGAAAATACACTTGTGCGATTTGGAAAGATCTCCGTTATCTGCGATTTTGGAACTTCACGAACTATTCAACCACCATCCTCAACCTCCACAACAAGTGGTGGACTTCTACAATCACCCAAGTGGCATCATCCACGATTGACGGAGTATGTGGCTACACGTTGGTATCGTAGCCCAGAGATGCTGTTGGGAATACCCAATTATGGATTAGTTTCCGATATGTGGGCTGTAGGAGCCATCATGGCGGAATTGGCACTTGGGGAACCTTTGCTTCCCGGTAAATCTGAAATGGATCAATTGGCTCTTATACGTCAACGAATAGGTGAATTTCCCGCGTCATTAATGGAAAATATAGATCCTCTCTCCCCAATGAAAGTTGCTTTAGCCCCTACGGGTATTAGTAGGGGTAGGTTGTCAGGCACTGCGGGACATTTTCTTATTCGCCAGTACCGTCGAGTTCTTGGCGAAGATGGTTGGGATCTTCTGAGTTCTCTTCTTAGTATTGATCCAAATAAACGATGTACCGTTGAAGAAGCCCTTGCTCATCCGTTCTTTGAAGGGTTATCCTTGAACGGAATTCTTGCACAATCCAAGGAAACTTTCGTAGATAGAGTAAATGGTTCAAACAACATGGATTACGATGATTGTTTATTGAATAATAATGTTAATAATAATAATAATAATAATAATAATAATAATAATAATAATAATGTTAATAGTAATAGTAATAATGGTATTAATTGTAGGAACCTTGTGCGAGATAAATGGTTTGGA